GGCCAGGGGGTGGTGGTGGCGGCCGGACCACGGCGCGGGAGCCGCCGCCTCGCACGGGCACCATGTCGGCGCAGCTGGAGTGCTGCGCGCGCGAGTGGCACGAGCTGGAGGGGGAATTTCAGGAACTGCAGGTAGGGCCGGGCCACCTGGTCCTGGCTCCGCTCCCCCGGGCAGCGCCCAGCCCTCCGTCCCCGTCCCGGCCTTTCCTCGCCTGCCCGGCCTGGTCCTTCCTCCCCTGCCCGGGAGGGGAAGGCGCTCAGGACTGGGCGCGCCCTGCGCGCGCTCCGGGCGCCGGGGCTCTGTCTCCGGGTCCTGGGAACACGGGTTCGAACCCCGCCGCCGCCCGGCCCTGCCGAAAGTTGGCCTCTGGGAAGTTCTCGGCGTGTCCATGTAGGGAGCCCCGAGGGGACAGGCTCGTCGGGGGAGCCCAGAGATCCCCCCCTCCTTCTGCCGGGGTCTCCCCGGTCCCCGCGGGCCTGGCCGGGGACTCCCCTCCAGCGCTTCTGCAGCTGCGCATCGGGAGGTGTGCGCGGACCCGGCCACCTGGAACCCTCGGCTCTGCTGGGGACCCACAGTCCCGGGTTTGGGGGCCCAGGTGTCCGAGCCCGCCCGCCTCCGCTGCTGCAGGCCCGGCGTGGTGCTGGGGAAGGTGTGTGTCCATCCTGATAGAGGCTGCGCCCGGCCTCGCCCTCCAGGCCTTCTTGGATCTTTGCGGGGGGCGGGGTGGGGCCCCCAAAGAGTGGCATTGCCATCAACCGCGCTGGCCCGAGTGGCTGTTCCTGATAGGCGCCCTTGAGGCTTGGGTCATCGACCCTGGTCACTGAAGGCGCTTCAAGGAAACCTTGGGATTGGCCAAGGGAGACCTTGGCCAATGACTTGGACGTGGACCTCTGCGCTCGTTGTCCTGCCAGGGCATGGTGTTTGGCTCCTCGGAGTGGCCCTCTGTCCCTGACAGTACACTGCACACCCCACACACCCCACTGGGGACCTCAGTTGGGGCACTGCCATCCTCCCTGCCCCCACAGCTCTTGTCTGTCCCCGGGTTGGCCTCGTTCAGTGTCCAGAGAGCGAGAGGAAGTCACCAAGTGACCGGACGTTCTGTGCATGAAGCCGCCCTGGGTCCCTGGCACAGGGAAGGCCTGAGGTATAGGGATGCTGTTCTCTGCAAAAGCGGAGATTGAGGACCTCAGAACTGATGCCCCTCTTCTGGCCTCTCCAGAGTTGTGGGTCAGTACTTTCTCATTCAGATCTGGAGTGGAATCCCTTCCATGTCCTTTCCACTCTGTCCCCAGAGTCCCGAGGAGACTCGCAGCCACCAAGTGCTGTGTCCTCCTGGACGCTGAGGTCCTGTCCATCCTTGGGTGGGCGGTGGGAGGAGAGGGGTTAGCTGTGTGGAGCTTTTGTTGTTCGTGATTCCTGTACCCGTGCCCTCAGAACAGGAGGAGGTAGCGTCTTGACACTTCAGAGCTATGCAGTTAATAGCAATTAGCCAGCATGTCTTGGCAGGCGGAGGCTGCACAGGGGTCCACGTATTTGTTAGATTCCTTCCTGGTGTCTCCGATGTTCACGTGTGTGAGGGACAGAGATACGCTGGGGGTTGATGCCGAGATTGCTTCTGGGACACAGCAAGCTTGATGAAGGACACTGTGATATCCCGGCTAGTTCTTTAAAGGTGTGAGAGCTGGATCCCACTTCTGAGGAAAGGAATCACGCTGGCCTTGGTGTCAGCTGCTGGGTCAGAGGTCAGTGAGGGACAGAAGGCCAGTTGAGTCCTTGAGAAGCCAGGGAGCAAAGTCACTTGACTCTCTCCAGATCACAGGTGGGAAACTGAGGCTCTGACAGGCTAATGATTGGATTGGGTCTGTGCAGCAGCCTGGCGGTAAATGATTTTCAGACTTCGTTCTTGAAATGTTTGCTTCATTTTCTGTAACGGCAAAAAGGCCCCTCTGTGTGTCTCTGTGCCTTCTTCTTTTGCATGTAAAATATAAGAGATGGAAATTGTTCAGAAATAGATACGTAATAAGTAGGGTCTTGTATGTGTAGGTTGGAATTCCAAAAAGGAGATATTTATGGGGAGCAGATAGGCAGTGGGAAAGCTGAACCTCAGAAAGGGTTTTGTTGGGTTGTTTTTTGCACCAGAAACCCCCCTGGACTTAGGACTTTCACTTCTGTATCTCTGATGTTTTCCACTCAGGGTACTCTTTGAAGTCCACTTTAAATCTCCTTCCTTAGAAATGAAGGAACTTGATTTTCAGATCCTGGAGGTTGAGAAGGTAGATTTGAAAGACGCCCGGAATCTCCCCTCTTCTGCCTCTCCCCTCCCCAAATCTCCGGGACTTTCTAGGGGAAAAGACCAGTTTCCATGGGACTGTAGTCTGCATCTACCGGGACTCTGGGCTGCAGACGGTTTACTGCTGCTTGGGGCTCAGGGTGGTGACTTGTGCACCCCAGACCAGTGTGTATCTGGCCTTGTGGCATGGCTACAGAAGGTCACTCGCAGATGGGGTGGCCAGTAATTTAACGAGCGTTTCCTTCCTTGCATCACCGGAAACCTGACCCTGTCCCTCCCCATTCAGCATGGAGGTGGCCTGAAGTGACCTTTCCCTAAACCTGACCTCCCAAGGGTGCTGCTTTTGGCAACCATGTGGCCATCTCATTGCCCTTCCCAGGGAAGGGCCAAGGCCTTCAGAGAGTCCTGGCTGTGGGGCAGCTGGGGGAGACTGCACTGCACAGGGACAGTTGAACCACTTGGAAGAGGTGGCGGGTGGAGTGGGTTCTCTGGATATTGGGGAGGCCTCGGAGCAGCTCGTGCAAAGGCCCTGGGCCAGGAGAACACCTGCTGTGGCTGCTGTGTTTGGAGTAGACCTCAGGAGGCAAAACCATCGGTGTTCTTTCCTTGAGCAATTATGAAACAGATCTTGTTAGACTCATTAATTGGAAATTAAGTCAGTTACTCGAGTTTCTGTGGAGTATAAAGTTGGAGGCAGGATTTGAACTGGGCTGTCACGGAACAACGTCAGTGCTCTTACCCCCCAAGGAGAGCCAGACCAGGGTGGAGGTGAAATGGGTTCCCTGGTGGTCTTTTGGGTTTTTTTCTGTCTCGGGGTGCTTTGGGGTTCTTTCTGTAGAAGCAGCACTGGGCAAGAAATCAAGATTCCTAGGTTCAAGTTGTCAGTGCCCACTGAGCTTGAGTTGTTTGATCTATAAAACAAGTTGTTACTATTGTTGTTTTTGATTGTCATTGAGTCGAGCACGACTCATAGCGACCCTATGAACAAAAGGCCTTTCTATAACTATCATCATTTATCAAAGTTCCTAGTTTCCAGAGGCATGTTGTTTAGGAAGTGGATGCCACTCCTTCTAAATAAAACAAGAGCTGACAATAATAATGACAACAGTAATACTAGTAGCTAACTGTTCATTACAGACAACCCTGATAGCAGATAAGAAGACTGAGGCCCTAAGAAATGTTCAGCAGCTTGCCATAATTTGAACCAGACCTGCTGTCTGCATCAGATGCCTTTTGGCTTTCTAACGCGATGGTAGGAACCCTGGTGGTGCTGTGGTTAAAACATCCAACTGCTAATCAGAAAGTCAGCAGTTTGAACCCATCAGCCGCCAGCCACTCGGCATTCTGCTTCTGTAAAAACGTAGAGGCTTAAAGACTCCATGGGGCAGTTCAGCTCTGCCCTGTGGGACCCCTGAGAATCAGGAGATGTAGTGGTGGGCTCCAGAGATGTCCTGAGACCCTTAGCTCTTGAAGGCAAGAACGCCTTTGAACTTGCTCAGTCTCTACATTTATTTGATGTGCCCACATTAGTCAGACTAGTGAAAATGACAGAAACCCAGTTTGACCAGCTTTAGAGCAGAAAGAGCATTGATTGGCTCACGTAATTAGGAAGTCCACGGCAAGTGGCTGCTGGCTGGGCTGCATGCAGTGGCTCGGGTGAGCCTCACCTCCTGGCCTTTTCACCACCAGGAAACCAAGCAAGATTTCCTGGGTTAATAACTGGTAGACCCTGGATTTGAACTCGAGCAGTCTTACTGCAGAGCTTAATTGCTTGGCCATTATCTGCCACCCAAGAGCCTGGCTTTCACGCTCACAGTCCATTTACTGCTGCCCTGTAACAGACGTTTCTAATCAATCCTGCCACCAGACTCGGTCTTTCCCAGTACAGAACCTGTACACTTTCAATGAACTTGTGATGCCTGGTGATCTCTCCAGGATATCAAGTCATAGCTAAACAGAATCGTGAACCAAAGAGAACTGTGTGAAATCACCTCTTGAAAACTTCTCTCAGAAGAAGTGGTCGCTATCGATAGTGGCCACAACCCTGTTGGAATCTCCTGGGTTACCCGCGTCTGGCCCCCCTGGGTCTGGGTCTGTAAATGCCAGGAGAGTCTGCTCTCTCGAAGTCCCTGGAGCAGTGGTTGACTCAGGACTTCTGTGCCTCCAGTTCTGGGTCTTGTGATCAGCCAGGTGGAGCTGAGCTGTCTCCAGATGCTTCGCAGCTGTGGCTCGTTAACCTCCTCCTCCCTGGGGGACACGACGCCTCCTCCCTGGGGGACACGAGGGGCCTCAGAAGATGCTGGAGGCAGCCCAGATCGCTGCCGCCTACAGCAGACGCTCACTTGTTTGTGTCCCGTGCGCATGTGGAGGATGGGAACGGACCTGCAGGGGAGAAGCTGTGGGACTTCTCACAGAGCTGACTCTCACGGATCTGTTGTTCTCCATGTACATAAGTAATTCACGTGCACACAGGAGCCCTGGGTGGGGCGAATGGATAAGCAGATGGTTACCGGACGGGAGCTCGGTGGTTCTAACTCACCCAGAGGTGCCTCCGCGAACAGCCCTGGTGATCTGCTTCTGAAAGGACAGCACTTGACCCAGCAATTCCACTACTGGGAATATACCCTGAAGAGACCATAGCTGACATCCAAGCAGATATATGCCCTCCCATGTTTATTGCAGCTTTGTTCACAATAGCAAGGAGTTGGAAACAACC